GGTTTGTTTAGATTTTCTCGATATCAGTATGGGTTGTATAGGTTTTCTCGATATCAGTATGGTTTGTTTAGATTTCCTAGATATCAGTATGGTTTGTTTAGATTTTCTCGATTTCAGTATGGTTTGTTTAGATTTTCTCGATATCAGTATCGTTTGTATAGATTTTCTCGATATCAGTATGGTTTGGTTAGATTTTGTCGATATCAGTATGGTTTCTATAGATTTTCTCGATATCAGTATGGTTTGTATAGATTTTCTCGATATCAGTATGGTTTGTTTAGATTTTCTCTATATCAGTATGGTTTGTATAGATTTTCTCTATATCAGTTTGATTTGTATAGATTTTTCTCGATATCAGTATGGTTTGCACAATGTTTCTAAACATAATTATGGTTTTAACAGTGTTTCCCAACTACAATATGGTTTGTAGCGTTTTTCCCCAATTTAATATGGTTTGTAACTTCTCTTGACATCAATATGGTTTGTAGTTTTTCTTGAAATCAATACTGCTTGTAGTATTTCTCGACTTTAAGATGGCCTGTATTATTTCGTGACATCCATACTGTTTATATTTTGTTCTTGACATCATTAATGTTAGTAGCTAAAGGCAGTAAATAAAGATGAGAACAGAGAAAAAAAAATTGACTCGGGCAATATCTAGTCCGGGAATACATTTAATACAAAAACACCTCTGTACATCATAAACTGCAATACAGTTTACTCTCTGTAAGTTTCTGTAATTACTAGCAACCTGTATTACTTTGAAATATCACAAAGATGACTTTTAATGATATCAAATTGAAAAATCATACTACAGAAGTAAAAAAACCATGAGAAATTGACCTAGAGAAAGATGTTCTTATTTCTGGGTTTGTATATCTAAATGTTTCTATGTTAACACCCTTAAACCATAAATATACACTTTACAATGAAAGTCATATTTGTGTTCTAATTTGTCAACTGGAGTGGAGGATTTTAAGAATGCGTAACATATCATAAAGTTTTTGTTGTTACACAAGAGTTACAGTCCCTGATTACCGGGCACGCCCACTCCCAGTTCAGTGAAAATCCTTATATTTTTCTATTGTTTTTCGATATTTTTAACTGATGTCACCTAAGGATTCCCTATTACAAGGAGGAGTGTGTTCAAATACTAGTTTACTCACATTAAAAGCAATAATCAGTAACATCTTCATATTTAAAACTCCGTAATTCAAGCAATTTATGAAGCGTGCCAGGAGACCGTGCTATAGTAAATGGCCATTGTAGCAAATACACCAAACGGAATTCCCGGTGAATCCCAATCACTCATCCAACCAATCATCCATTACATCGGCAGTGATGTAATACAATAGTTTCTGAAGCAGCCAATCAAATATGGAGCTTTCATTCTAAAAATAAACCCCGTAATTCCCGGATAGAAGCCCAACATCCACCCGGTGTAAGGGCAAAAATAGCCCATTACGAAATGACGGCGTCAGCTCGGCCTACCAAAA